CTGAATCACTGACCCAGTTAATGTTCTCAATAAAGAAAACAAGGTATTTGAATATTGCGAGAAGTAGTAAGTTGAAAATCAGTCCAACAACCAGCCAGCGTTTCTTTTGCGAGACACTATTTGAAATCGCTCTTGCCAGAAAGAAATTAACCAGAATTGAAAGTAGAATAATGACGGAGTAGCTGACACCTCCCCAGGCATAGAAAAGTAAACTGAAAATTAGGAGCAGCACATTTCTTCCCTTCCTTGGCATCAGGTAATAGGACGCCAGGATGAGCGGTAAGAAAACAAAAATAAATGTAAGGCTGCTAAACAGCATGCATCGTCAATTATTCAACCGAATCAGTAGTACTTTGGTCCGAAACATTCGTTACCGGAACTTCTTGCGTTTCTTCAGAAACTACAGGGGTAACGTCTTTTTTCTTTGGAAAGTATTTGCGTTGACGGAAAAAGACCATGATCACACCAACTGTGATGGAGGCATCGGCCAGGTTCCAGATAGCAGGGAACACCTGTTCTCCACCAACCCATGGCATCCATTGTGGCCAGTTTACATCAAACTTGAACATATCTACCACGTTTCCAAGCAGGAAACCGGTATGTCGAACTTCCTGAACACCCCACAATCCGCAGTCATGCTCAATACCTGAACCTTCGAGGTAATTAAAGTGAATACATGGATCGAAGGCAAACGCGAAGTCGTAGAACATCGAATCGATGAGGTTTCCCGTTGCTCCGGCCAGTATTAAACCAACGGCCACCAGAAATTCCATTCGGGCGCCTTTTCTCGCCTGCCGGACCCAATAAATACAAATCAGCGTAATTGCAACAATCCTGAAAATACTGAGCGCAAGTTTGTGCCACATCTCGGAACCAAATGTTGTTCCGAAAGCCATCCCTTGATTTTCGATATACTCCATAACGAACCAATCTCCAAGAATCGGTTGAATTTCATATGGAGTGAAATGTGTTTTTACGTAGATCTTAATGATCTGATCGAGCGTGAGTATCAGTGCGACAATCGTCGCAAC